TCTTACTAGTATGATGTACTTTTTAGAAAAGCTCGAATTCGAAGTTTTCTGTTATCAATGGTCTTCTTACTTGTTATATGATGCTTCTTGTAAATTGGCATAATTTTCCTCACCTTCTACATCCCTCTTCAGATTCCCTTCTTTTTCATCTCCATTTACATTGAAGCAACAGTAAATTGTTCGGGTTTTCTTTTCTTAAGAGCCTCTAACTCATACTCTACAGTGGTAAAGGTCCTTTTGATCTACAACCCTTCTCTCACTCTGTGAAGTGTCTCTCGAGAAACTTCCAAATTTCAATTTAAATGAAAATTTAAGGAACTTCGAACTGCTGCACTTTTTTTAACCTGATTTTTTATGAGGTGATTCTCAGTTATGCCGGGTAGTTTGGGAAGCATGGAAGGCATGGCTAATTGTAAGTGGTAATGAATAATAGCGAATGGTGGCTTGGCACGAGGCACAGACAAGTATTACATTTGTTTCGGGGAAACTGGTAAGTCTGGTTCGGGATGCGAACTCTTCTGGAAATCAAGAAAACTAGAGAGTCATTATTTTCACCCTTCTAACTCGTCCCTACCTTTCTATTTAAAAATACAACGTCTGTCATTACTGGTAAGTCTGGTTCGGGATGCGAACTCTTCTGGAAATCAAGGGAACTAGAGAGGTCATCATTTTCACCCTTCTAACTCGTCCCTACCTTTCTATTTAAAAATACAACGTCTGTCATTTTCCGATACTTCTTTTATTCTTGCGTTTTTTTCATAATATTTGTGGAATCTGTTTCGTCATGAAGATTGTCCACTTCATCTCTAAACGCTTTTTTCCGGTTGTTTCCTCTCATTCGTCTGAGAGGAAACGGTTGAGTGGACAACGTCCATTCCGTGACAATCATCATGTCTGGGGCGTCAGAGTGGTGTTTCCTCCTCCTTCTCCTCCTTATGAGGGGATGGAGCCTAATTACATCTGTCCCATAATCATGATTTCACGCAAAACCCCATCATAACGGCCGAGTGCCCCATTCGACACACTCCTTACTAATACGTATATACACATCGTATGAATGAAATGACGACCACTGGGGTGGTCATCTGAATTTATCGGCCATCATTAGATTCAGTGGTACCAAGGGACAGAAAGCCAGCAGATCCAAGCTCCTACAGCTCTTCACACATGTTGATGCAGGGGTTTTTCTAAGGACTAGCTGGTCTATTCTCGGGCGCTTTAGCGATCGGTCTCCGATTCAAGTGCCTTTCAGGTATTCGTTGCGCCACCTGAGTCGTCGACTACAGGTGACAATAATCGCCTTCTATTTTGAAGAAAACCTGTGAAGGACCGTTACAAGCTGCTTTGCTAGCCTATGGGCTTCTCAGGGACGATTAAACCGTTCACACGAGCGAAATAACCCTCTTTTTTGGGGCCCACATTGCTTAGGGGACCACAGCCTGACCTTTTATAGCCACCACACTGCCGTAGTTGCTCCTTACTATATCTATACACCCCTGAGCTTTCGTGGATGGGCGGCTTGTCCACTTACTCGGTTGGACAGAACTCTCTTCAGAGTAAACACTTCGAGCAGACTTGTCGCTTTCCCTCGCAATTAGGCGTCCATCAACTGATCACCACTGGCTACCCACTTTTCTACTGAAGAAAAAGGTAACTCGGATGGGTAGCCCATTTCCAACTCAGGCCCATAAATTTCTTTGGAAATGTTGGAACTCAGCCAATTACTAGTAAAGACCGTATCCAATTTAAGGTGAAATGAAACTGATATCTTCCGCCCGTTTACCAGTACCTGCTTCAAAGTTGTTTTGTAGACGAAACAGGGAAGTCCGTGCAATCTCGAATAGCAAGGATATTGCAATCGGGCTATGGTCCCGGGAGTGTCTATTGTTTGATTCTGTAGTCTGCCAATCGCGGTTAGCTCTTGACTCAGTACTCGGGCTCGGTCTGCTTGTTTAGGAAGGGGTGGGGTTGATCGTCGATGGTCGAGGACGGGTAATGTGAAGAAGGCGATGGAGGGAGAGAGTCGCGCACGGGACAGGGTGGTGGGGGTGGGCGGTGTTATGGGAGTGGTCAGCTATCACAGCTAGCCACGTTCGCCCCCAACTCCCGATCCCCCCACCCTCTTCAACCACCTCCTTCCTCGTCGCCGCCCTTCCAAATCATTAAATATCTTGTTTGGGGATTTGCATAGCATACGGAGAAATCCTAATGAAAGAAACGAGTTTGAAGGCTCATTGCCAAGCGTCTGAAGATCCACTGAAGCTCATCCTGGGAGCACCGAGGGACTATTGGAAAGATCTGATCGCATGTTTTCCGTAGGCGTTGCACTTTGAGCCTCTTCATTTCCGCCGAATTTACTCGTCCTTTTCGTCATTTTCTGCCCTTTTCTCGTGTTGTTACTGTTTTTCCCTCTTTTCTCCACCAAAAGAGGCCTTTTTCGTCCTTACTTCTAAGATTCTCCTGGAGGGTTTATTGTTGTTCTGTTGTTTTGTTTGTTATTGTTTTATTCCCCCGCCAAGTCAAGCTCCTTAGGTACTTTCTCAATCCAGCCACTCTCTATGTCAATGACTATCACAAATTAATTTTTTTTGAAAGATTAAAATCAGTTATTTCGTGTATCTTATAGTATCGACCACTATTACAGTTTACCACTGATTACTCAAACTAAGAATTAACCGTTACGGTATCCTTACGATCATTTACCATCAAATTCAACAACCTTTCGTAGGCAAATGAAGTTGCAAGCCATGCAGAAGTGCTTTACCTTGACTTACCTCCTTTTACCTTTCATTACTGATTTTAACTTGACTTCAATTTCTACAATATACAAGACGATAAAGAGAATTGTTCATCATTGTACTAGAAGTAACTTCCCAGAGTTTTTGGTACTGTAATTATAGGTTGAAGCGACTCTGCTAATCTTATCGTGTGTCATCCTTTAATCTGGGATTAGTCCCTTGATGGCGTTGTTGCTTTTAATGACATTTTAATAACCGTTTTATTCGTTATCAGCGTATAGTTCAGGGTTATAACCACCAATTCGTGGGTGGTCCATTCAATCACGACGGTTCGTCATGATAATACGGCTTATTTGCCTCCTCCATCTCACACACTTCACATTGTGTTGTTTGCTAGAGAATGGCAGGAGCGCCGTTTACTTGTCAGTTGCAGAAGATGTAAAACCTGGTAAGTCAATTGAAACAGATCACTATTTCATGTGTATTACCAGTTACCATTTACTTCTGTATCGTTGCAAATTACTTGTTATCATCGATCCGTGTTTTAGATACATCAAATCAAGAACTTTTTGTGGTTACTACATCGAGTAGGTCTTGCCTATCGTNAGTCAATTGAAACAGATCACTATTTCATGTGTATTACCAGTTACCATTTACTTCTGTATCGTTGCAAATTACTTGTTATCATCGTTCCGTGTTCTGATTACATAAAATTAAGCGCTTTCGTAGTTACTACATCGAATATGTTTTGCCCATCGTAGCTGTTACCCACATTGGTGTTGGTGGAAGGGGGCAAACGCGCAATGCTGAGGAGGTCGACCAACTCTCACCTGATTATGGTAATTATCACCCGACTGCAAGGTGTTTAGTCGTAACCACACATGGGATTACATTTGGATTATCCCCTTCTCAATCAACATTGGTCTCGTCGAGCAATCAACGAGGGAAAGCTTCAGGTGCTACCGTATATGAGGCTTGCCACTTGCATATTGGAAGAATACCATGGATCCCTAGGTATAATTTGATTTACCATTTTATTCACCACACAAATGAGCCTGGAAAGGGTCCTGAGTTTCGATCTGGAGGTACTTCGATCGAGCTTGCGCTCTTCATCACTTCAGAAAACTCTTTTCATAGCTGGGCTATGTAGAAAAGGTTACGTTTTATGGCATTTCAAAGTAGAAGGGGATCATAGTGGGTGAAAAGTTTGACTCATGCGGTACTTGTACTTGTATACGGTAGCGACTGCGTTCCGCCAAACTACTGTTAAGTATAATTCACTTGTAACTCGAATAATCAGAGGGCCGAGTAGTTGTACTTTTGGAAACCTTCTGTAGCGATTCCTTGATGCTATCTTCCACTCAGTTTCAGACCAAAAACGCTCAAACCTCTTTTATCCCATTTCTTTCCCCCTTCAATTTTTGAATTATTGTAACTATATTGAACCCTTCTGTTTTGCGATTGGTACTCGGATTTCTGGTGAATCAGTTGCATACTTGAGTAGGTTCCTGTAAGTATGTAATGTCCACTTCACAGTACAGCTATGACACCCTGTAACTAACTAGTACGGATACGCTGCATGAAGATACCATGTGGGCTTTTTTGATGAGTCCGACCATTGGGCCATGAAGGAAAACTTATAGTAACTTTCACCACTAAATCTTATCAGACCTGTGAAACGGGTTTCCCCTTCTCTTCTATCTCCCCTCCAACCCTTCTGATCTACTCCTCCCCTCTTCGGTTTTTTCATGATTGTGTGATGGCTCGGAAACAAATATATAGAGTTTAATTTATTTTTGGTAATAAAAGGTACAACGGGGTAAGCCTACTCTCCCGTACCCGATGCCCACACACACTTCTCGTTCGTCCCTGATCAGTGCTCCTAGGAAGTGAAAAAGAAGAGGGACGAAGTTTACTACTGGCATTTAGGGGTACAAATGGGCCCGGGAAATTGCTCAGTGTGACCCTGGCGGCAAGTTTACGAGATGCTGATCGAATATTCGGGATTCGACTGTATTCCCAGGAATTTGCCATCAAACCTGAGGACGTAATCTTTGTATATCAAGAGCACTGTTGCTATTGCTCTCGTTGAACTGATTATTTTTTCTTTAAGAATTACCCTAGGGGCAAAGAACATTTTTGCTTTATTTTTACTATTACTACATATAATTACTACCTCATCCTTAAGATAACGAGAGAAGAGATAACTGCCAAGAACCGAGTTTTTTGCTCAGTCGAGTTGAACTCCAACACAAGTTGGTATCGTTGGGTGAGAGAGCCGTCGTAGGTACCCGTTTTTAGTGCTATTTCACAGGATTGCGGTAACGATTTCACAAAGTGCCGTTGTTGTTTTTCCAATGTAATTACCGCCATCCAAGTTTTATGAGTTGAACACATGCAGTAAAGTTAGTGGTGAGAAATTCGTCGGTAACAGGTCATTTAGCCAGCCCACAGGAGGTCGACGGATCAGCGCTCCTGTACGGTCACCATCCCAGCGTGATTGTGATGAACATGAAAAACAAGAGGCGTTCTCGATGTTTCCTAGACCTCTGGCTGATGTAATCTATCGGGGTGAGAACTACCTTACTCGGCGACAGTCAGACTGGTTGAGCGATCCCATGGGGCAGCCGCGATATCTGCATGGCGGCCGCGGAGGCGGCGAACCCCCTCTGAACGACATCATTGTCGTGCACACTTTATGTACAGTAATTTATCATATACATAATGAGTAAAAAGTGCGACGACCTTAGGGTGGCCGGTAAATATTGGAAGGGAACAGTACGCCATAAGTTTGACAATCAACTCTACTTGTACAACCATGATGGTTTAGGCGACGTTATCGGGCATCTACCGATCGGAGGTAGGACGAATGGTACGAAGCCGGATACTCAGCTTCGAGTTGTGAAAGGAAATGATATTGCCCGGATAGTACCCGGGTCAAAAGACTTGGTCATCGAAAAGGAGCTCGACAGAGATGAGGTCAGTGGGAAAACTTTTTTCAATTTTCAACTTTTCTTCAATTTTTTTCCCAACCATGGGAACCTTTGTTGTGCTTTCCTGTTCAGAGTGGTCACAACGTAGATGAACATAGTGTTCTAAAGGTTCATAAATGAATTTCTTACTTTCCTAAGCCCTATGGGCGTCAATACATATCGACCTTCAACTGCTCTCCGGCTGCTCTCGGTTTCCACCTTTGCTACTCTGGTGATGACCCTCGGGACCTCTCCCTGTAAGAGGTAGCGATCAGAGAGCTATCCGAGCCCCGTCATCAGGTATCAATGAGTTACATCTGATTCCGTAGCTACTGAGATATGGGAGGAGGGGGGGGGGGGGGGGGCTGAACATGAGCCATAGGGGATCCACCATCAACCCCTTTACTCCCTCACATTTTCAAACACCGTTTCATCCTTAAACTGGAAATTTTCGAGCTTCTTAACGAAATGTTCTTTGGACCACGCTTTTTTGACTTGAAATGGCGTAACTTTATGTTTAGGGTCAGAGTAAATTCGAGTTGGTGGTGGAATGCGTGTCTCAGAATCTCGACAGCGACTTTAGTCAGGTGATTCTTTGATGACTGGAAGCACCATGCCATTCCCTGTTTCAATGATATTTTTCAGCTCAACATTTCTGTGTTCGTCACCGTGCAGGACGTCAATGATAACGCACCAGTTTTCGATGCTCCGGAATACAATATTACTATCAAAGAAGAGCTACCTAAAGGTGGGTGGTATACCCCAAGACCGACTGGGTTCTCTTTTCTGAAGAATCCAGTTTTTCATTGGAAATAGGCTCAAAGATTCAGAGATTTTATTTCAATTCACATTTGCGCATTTTGCCGCAGACAGCAGGGCCCCACTAAGCTACCCACAACTACCAGGAGGTCAAGGAGCTGTTGGCTATTACTATTAACCAATTACTATTGCTCCTTCGTTTGTTAAGAACTAAGAATGTTTCAGCAGCATGTTTGAGACCCATCATTTTGATCTGGACAAGAAGGCATGGCGCATAATTCCATTACCCACCGTCGTTGGATACGGCTTATGTCGAACTTGTTTCAGATACGATCGTCTTTACTGATTTTGAAGCGACGGATCGAGATCAACCGGGTCCCAACAGTTTCGTACTTTACTCAATAGCTGATGGTCCTCACTCGGACTTACTTGAAATTGCTGACCCTTTTCGTCCAGTTGTGACGATAAAGGTGAGAATAAGAGAGTAATAACCAGTAAATCTATGATTGCTTGATCTATTGGCTCAATTTCTTTGCAGAATCGTATCGACTATGAAAAAATTCGGAGTTTTGACGTTACACTCGAAGCTCGTGATCAAGGCGAACCATCTCTGTCGACATCGGCGCCACTTCATGTCACCGTTGAAGATGTAGACGATCGTCCACCGTATTTCCAGCATCATTACTATACGTCTCGAAGCATAAAGGTTTGCTATTTGATTTTATTTTCATACGGAATATTGGAAAAAATGTAGAGTAGGGTCAGCGCTGCCATATTTCCAAGGCTACTACCTCAGACTTGTTGAATTTGACCGGACAAGGCAAATCAACATGGTGAGGATCACTAGTCCCGAAGACTGGTCATAGCAAGATAGCAAGTTAATTGTATGAACCACCGCGCATCGTGAGCGGCTTAAAGTCTCACCGTTAACCCATTTTGGACCTGAATGGGTTAAAAAAAAGTTTTTACAGTATCAAGTCAACTTGCGCTCGTGTAGAGCAGTGTTTAAAAAATTGTCATCAATTTCTGAGGCAGCCATTTGATTTCGGGTCATCTAGCAAGGGTTGATGTCAGAAAGTGCGTTCACCGTAAGCTAGCTGTTCTGAACGCCGAAACCGGAACGCGTTTATGAGCAGAATTGAAAACTCAGTTTGTGACGTTTATTTATCATATTTTACTCTATAGTTCATACATAGAAAAACGACTTCGTGATTTTGCATCTTGACATCCTGGAGAAACTGGTAACGCAGGTGGCTACTGGTCGTCTATAAATTTATTCTGCGGTTTTTGAATTATTTATTGTAACAGAACCCTTCCAGTAATGCTTTTGGCTTTTTTCAAATGCTAGTGGTTTACGGCTGGCTTCTGCAAAGTTATGGTCGAACTGCAAAAAGCTTTCATCCTCTTCAAAACCCCTCCTGCTTTCACGAGTGGGATGTGAGCACATTTGCTCCTTCCAGCCTCTGGGACCCCGCTCACTCCTCTCTTTCTCTTCAGAGGTATTCGGAAGATTTCTCCCAGAGAAGCCTTTATTTTGACGGCTGGCGCTAACCATCACTAGCTTAATGACTAAATAACCATGGTGTTAAATAGAATTACTCTCAGCTATTGAAGAATTTGGCGCAACCACTTAGAAGCTCAAAGCCGCTGTCTTGTAATTGCCCTCTTGTCCTATTATGACCCTTGACGGGTCACCAGAAGCTCAGACTCCGAAACAGCCGCAAGATCCGGAGGATTCAAAGCAAGTGTTCCCCAACCACTTCCCTAATCCCTGGACGCAGATGGGGGGAGTTTGTGATAAAGCACACAGTACAGTAAAGTTACCTTTTAAATGATTTATAGTTGTAAGTGAGGGTTGTAACAGGGGAAGCATTTAAGAGTGTTTTTTTAAACCTTTTGCTTTCTTTTCGACATTCTAGCACTTGTTCCCCTCTGTTTTACTTTGTATGCCGCCCCGGAACCTCGTGATTAACTGTAACCTACTTTATCGAAATCTATCGAAGTTATTATTCATTGAATAACTAATACTACTCTCACTAACTGGTTCCAACTAGTATGTAGTCATGAATGTGAGCGGATACATATTTTAGGGTAGAACACGAAGAAGATGAGCCAGAAATGGCTCAAAAGAGGGATCCACCTCACCTGTAGGTGTTCACAAGATTCTACTCTAAAATATGCCAGAGCCACCTCCAAGGGAAACGCTTACAAGATCTGCGAATAATAATAGGTAGTGAGCTATTCTATGAGCAGGACATGCTGTTACTTTTGGTAGAAACCATTTTCTCAAAGGCACAGTCCACGATAATTTTGGAGCATCTTGTTTTAGACGAATATTGAAAGTGGTGGTCCAAAATATTGGTCTAGAATAGGGCAAAAGCGGTGAAAAA